CTGGGTGTGCTGGCTATTGTGTGCCCAGACGAGTGGCCCCTGCTTGCCTTCGTGTCCCTGCTGGCCCCTGCCCTGGCCCATGGCAACACTGTAGTCATGGTGCCCAGCGGGGCCTGTCCCCTGCTGGCCCTGGAGGTCTGCCAGGTACAGTCTCCTGCCTGCCTGCCACCTATTGCTGCCCCACAGCCCTGGGGCAGCAGATGAAAGATGCCCCGACTCCTGCAGGAGCTTGGCTCTCACCCCACCCTCCTCGGTAACCATGGTGACCGCAGTCCCGGCATGCAAGCCTTCATCCTCAGGGTCCCGCTGCCCATCCCCTCCAGCCCGGAGCCTTCACGAGTCCATGACCCCAAGCGCATCCCTTCCAGAGCCCCACAGCCACTCCCCAGATGCTCACTCCTCACGCTGTCCCCCTGCCCTCCCAACCCTCTCATCCCCTAGGACATGGCCACTCTGTTCCCGGCAGGCCTGGTGAACGTGGTGACAGGAGACCGGGACCACCTGACCCGCTGCCTGGCCTTGCACCAGGACATCCAGGCCCTGTGGTACTTCGGATCTGCCCAGGTACACCTTGTTTCACCATCTTTAGCACTTTCAACTTCACCAAGGGTCTCCTCCTTTTCTGGAAACATTGCCCTGCCCCTTTAGAGCCTCAGTTGCTAAGGAAGAGGATCTCCTCGGGAACAAGGGCCTGAGAGCCCGCCAGCCCAAAGACCAAATGTCAGTGGACAACCCGTTGCTAAGGACCACACCCTAGCAACAGAGTCAGAGGCCCACGGTCTACTCTTGTAAACCTCTTGGTAACAGATGGGAACTCCCTGGCCCCCGTTCCACTGAACACGGGCCATTAAGGGACAGGAAATTCCCCAGCCACAGCATCCGGAAGGTTCGCTTGCTGAGAGCTGAGCGCCACAGCCAAGTCAAGCCTTGGGCCGCCCCTCAGTACCAGTCCTCGTGGCACAGGGGGCGGCTGCACAGCAAACAGGCTGTGGCAGCGCTAATCCGCCCCTCCTCACCCCAGGGCTCCCAGTTTGTGGAGTGGGCCTCAGCAGGGAACCTCAAGCCGGTGTGGGTGAGCAGGGGCCTCCCGCGGGCCTGGGAGCAGGAGGCCGAAGGCGCAGGCCCGGAGCTGGGGCTGCGAGCAGCACGCACCAAGGCCCTGTGGCTGCCCATGGGGGACTGATGCCTGCACGCCACCCACTCCATCTTGGACCCCAACACACACCAGATACCTGGAACTTTCCCCTCATGGTCCCCATGGCTTCTAATAAACTCTCTGCCCAACCCTGACTGTGCCTCTGAGGGGACAAAAGGACGGCAACTTCTGGTCTATTCGTGGCCTTTTTAGTTCAGAGATTAGGCAGCCTGGTGGGTGGCTCCAGTATGACAGTCTTGAGAAACAGATGTGGGGGGGACTCTGAGGATCCCCGGACAGGGCCTCTTGTCTCTTCTCAGGTACTCCACCGCGGCTCTCCCGCTTTGGTTTCCCTGCCGTGCGTGGCCTCAGAACCCGTGCTAATTTTTCCTATTTTTAGTAGAGACGGGGTCTCGCTCTTGCTCAGGCTGGTCTCGAACTCCTGACCTCGAGCGATCCTCCCGCCTCGGCCTCCCAGAGTGCTAGGATTACAGGCGTGAGCCACCACCCGCCAGAATTCCTGAATTTTTAACCATTGACTGCCAGTGTGAGCCACTCCAGCACACCAGGGCTTAGAATCCTTTTTGATGCGAGAAACCCACTCATGCTATCTTAGGATAAAAGGGAATTTTCTGGAAGGCCACTGAGATACCTTGCAGAAGATAGGGCAGGACACACATCTAGGTGTCCCAGGACTTGGCCAGGCAGGAACCAGGGCAGGTCCTTTTTCCATGGGCCACATGATCTCCTGGGTCTTGTATCTCTGCCTCTCTGCTTCATTCAAATCTTTCTAGCCATGTGACCTTAGGAGAGCCTCTTAAACGTCTCTGAACCTCAGTTTCCCCATCTGTAAAATGGGGCTCAAAGTTCCAACCTCATTGGGTTGACTCAGTGATGGGCACCCAGGATGTGCATAATGATTCTTGGGGATTAATTAGAGGTTGGTTTTGTCCGGAGCTGGCTGCTGGTCAAAATCTTCCTCCCCACAAGGATACGCTCCCTGCCCCCACGTGGGAAGGGGCAGCCTCTTGTCAGTACATGGTTAAGGTCAGGCGAGTACATTACTTCCCCCGGACCTGGATGGTGGGGCACAGGAAGCAGTGAGAGGAGTTGGAGGGAAATCCTTCCCCAGGGCAGCCCTAGCCTGGCTGGACAGCTCCATCCTGGATTGTGCGAGCCGCCTTGGGGTCCTTCCCATTAACCCTCCTGTTGCTCTGACACAGCCAGAGCCAGGTGTGGTGGGTCTACGTACCACCAGCCCAGTCCATAGGGGGATAAATCTTTTTTTTTTTTTTTTTTTTTGAGACAGAGTCTCACTGTGTTGCCCGGGCTAGAGTGCCGTGGCGTCATCCTAGCTCACAGCAACCTCAAACTCCTGGGCTCAAGGGATCCTTCTGCCTCAGCCTCCCGAGTAGCTGGGACTACAGGCATGCGCCACCATGCCCGGCTAATTTTTTCTATGTATTTTTAGTTGTCCGATTAATTTCTTTCTATTTTAGTAGAGACGGGGTCTCGCTCTCACTCAGGCTGATCTCGAACTCCTGACCTCGAGCGATCCTCCCGCCTCGGCCTCCCAGAGTGCTAGGATTACAGGCGTGAGCCACCGCGCCCGGCGCCCGTAGGGGGGTAAATCTTACCGGCCAGCGTGGGTCGGGTGCCCGGTTCTGGTCTACTCTGGTCATCCCTGGCCAGGGGACAGGATCTCCTACCCCAGTCACCCATCCAGTCAACAAATACTGACTGCCCACCCTGAGTCAGACACTGTTGTAGGCGCTAGGGGGACACAGCCAGGGACAAGACAGGGCCTGGCCCCCTGGAGCTGGTGTTCTAGTGACCCAGAAGCATATTCGTTTCCTGTCAGTGCTGTAGCAAATTGCCACAAATTTAGCAGTTCGGATTTGATTATCTTACAGTTCTGGAGGTCGCAAGTCTGAAATGGGTTTCATTAAGGTAAAGCCCAGGTGTTGGCAGGGCTCTTCCTCCTTCTGGAAGCTCGAGGGCAGAATCCATTTCTGGCCTGTGCAGCGTCTACGGGCCACAGGCACTCCTCGGCTCAGGGCCGCGTCCCCTGTCTTCAAAGCCAGCAGTGGCCGGTTGAGTCTTTCAACGCGGCTTCCCTCTTGACTCTTCTGTTGACACGTCTTTCTCTGACCCTAGTTCTCCCGCCTCCCTCTTGCACTCATCAGGACCCTTGTGATGACATCGGGCCACACCCCGTAAGACCAGGATGATCGCCCCATCTCAAAGTCTTTAGCTGAATCACATTTGCAGAGTCCCTTTTGCCGTGTACGGTCACATAGTCACAGGTTGTGAGGATTAGGATGTGGACATCTTTAGGGGCCATAGCAGTCAGAAAACAAGTGAAAAACCAAGAAAAGTGTGACCATTCAGTGTCACAAGGAAGCTAAACCTGGCTGGACAGGAAGTGAGGCAAAGTGGGCAGGGAGGACAAATGGTGGCACAGTCAGGACGGGCTAGGCTTTGCTGCGGTGACACACAGGCCCAAATCTCTGTGGTCTACAACCACAAAGCTGGTCTCCTGCTCGCACTACCCGTTCACCCAGGGCTGGCAGGGCCCTCTGCTCTCAGAGTCGCACCAGACACTTGGCTGAGGGCGGCCCTCTCCATGCTTCTGCCACCGACGCAGAGCCGCTCCCCAGCCCTGTAGGCTTCCACCCAGAAGTGACACCTGTCACTCTCACCCTCATGCCATTGGCCAAAGCCAGCCATGTGGCCATGCCTGAGTGCCACAGGACGGGGCGTAGAATCCTCCAGCAGATATTTGGGGACAGTCTGCCACGGACGGAATGGGCGAGCAAGACATACCGAGGACCCCAGGTGTGGAAGGGAGCTTATATTTTCTCATTTACCACCTCACCCCCCGGCCCCCAGTTTGGAGTTGAAGAAACCGAGGCTTAGAGAGGTCAAGGGGCAGGCCAAGCTCCCACAACGGCAAAGCCAGAGCCAGAATGCCACTTGCCGGGCCTGATGTGGTAAGACATTCCCTGAGTCCTGTGTGCCAGGCCTTGGCAGGCAAAGCTGGAGGGCCCGAGGAGTTAGACCCAGCCGCGCAACAAGCTCCCCGCTTCCGCAGCCAGATCCGGCTTTGAGCCCCGCTCTCCGTGCACCGTGCGTGCCGTCAGGGGGACCGTCCCGGCCTCTCCCGCGGAGCTCTGCCAAGGCGCCATCGGCGGCGTGAGCGGCCACCTGTTGCCACCAGGGGGCGCTCTCGGTCCCGGCCCAAATTCCACCCCAGCTCACTCTCCCCCAAAAAACTTCCTTTCACTTTCAGTCTCTGGCTGTCACCCGGCTTGGCCCCTTCCACACCCAGCTGGGGCAAGCCTGGTGCGTGAGGAGCACTGGACTCCAGGTCCCCGAGGGGCGGAGCCGGGGTCCCCAGTCCTAGGGCAGAGGCAGCAGGGCATGGGGGGTCGGGCTCCCGAGTCCCTGACCTGGGGAGGGTTCTGGGGACCGGACGTCGGGGTTCTTGAAAGGGGAGATGAGATTTCACCGTAACTGGGGCTCGTGCAGGAAGCCTGGGGGAGTAAGAGGCGGAAACTCGGCCACATCAAGGGGACGGCGGAGGGGCGGGGAGCAGAAGGGGCGGGCGAGGAAGGGGCTGGGGTGTGGGGGTCCGAGACTTCTTCTGTCCCTTCCAAGACCCGGCCACAGGCATGAGGGGCCCCCGGCCGAGATGACAGTGCTGGCACCAGCCTGGAGCCCAGCTGTGCGTATACCTGAGGGACAAGGTGGGGGGAACGGGGAAGCGCAGTGTCAAGATGGGGGGCGAGATGGACAGAGGAGGGGGGAGAGGGGCAGAGGAGGGGGGAGGCGGACCGAGGAGGGGATGTGGCAGTGCCGGGTACAAATGAGGAGGACAGGACAGAGATGGAGCGGAACCCGGCCCGTGAATACGGAGGGCCGAGGCGGGGAGATGGGGAGGGGGTTGGCAGAGCAGGATGAAAAGCGACAGCGCCGGAGCGGAGGCTGAGGGACAGGGAGGTGGGCAGAGGTGGGGACAGCTGCGGAGGTGGATGACAGGAGACCCGGGACCGGAGAAGGAGGGGAGAGGGAGCGGCGGAGGCGGGAGGCCTGGGGCGACCCTGAGAGCCGAGAGCCGCCCCGCCCTGCAGACCCCCCTGCTGCTGCTGCTGCTGCTGCTCAGCCCCGGCCTCCGCGGGACGCCGCACTGCGCCTTCGAACACAGCCCCATCTCCTCCACCTTCGCCGACACCATCCGCACGCTGGTGAGCTCCCTGCCGCAGCCCGGGCTGCCGTCCCTCTTTGAGACCAGGGTTCTGCGGCTCGGTCAGAGTTCCCCGTCTCTGGGCCTTGTCCCTCTCTCTCTGGGTCTCTGCCAGCACGTCTGAGTCTCCTTAGTGTGTCCCCGTTTCGGCCAGGCCTGACCCTCTTTTCTCCCGTAGTCTGACTACCTGCTTCTGGATTACCCGGTCACTGTGGCCTCCAACCTGCAGGAAGTGAGTCACGTGGGAGGGGCCCGGGATGGAGGTGGGAACCACAGACCAAGGACCCCCGCCTCGGGGACCAGGCTAGTTGGCCAACCCGGGCCCCTTCCTGCCCAGCGCCCCCTCCCGAGCCCCGCGTGGTTGTCTCCCCAGGAGGAGCTGTGCGGCGCACTCTGGCGCCTGGTGCTGGCGCAGCGCTGGATGGAACAGCTCAAGACTGTGGCTGGGTCCCAGATGCAAGGCCTGCTGGAGGCCGTCAACACCGAGATAGTCTTTGTCACCACATGTGCCTTTCAGGTCAGCCCTGAACTTGGGGGACAACTGAGGGGAGGAAGATGCTTTCCTAGGCATTGGAAGGAAAGCTCTGCTCAGCCTTGCTGGAGATTTCTTTCGAACTTAGCCACAGGAGGAAGGTAGAGCTGGCACCCCTACCCCTGGGGGCCCTGTCACTGGAGAATAACAACTCTCTAGGCGCCACAGGATGGTGGAGGGTCTGGGCCCGATTCTCAGGCCCAGATCTCTTAGGGGTTCTCCCTCCTAGCAACCAGGGGCAGTGGGGGCTAAACTCTGTCTGAGACCCAGGCCTCATGGGGCCCAGTTGTGGGCGTTGCCAGCAGGGAAGGGCCGTTGGCCTGTGGAGATGGGGGGTGATGTGGTGGTGACGTCTCCCTCCCCTGCCCCCAGCCCCTCCCCAGCTGTCTTCGCTTCGTCCAGACCAACATCTCCTGCCTCCTGCAGGACGCCTCCCAGCAGCTGGTGGCTCTGAAGCCCTGGATCACCCGCCGGAATTTCTCTCCGTGCCTGGAGCTCCGGTGTCAGCCCGGTAAAGGCCCCCAGCACCCCCCACCCCTCCCATCATCCTCGTAGCCCCTCACCCTCTCTGCTCTGTGTGTCCCAGAGCCTTGTCTGCGACAAGGGCAAGTGCGTTCCCCTTTCTGGACTCAGTTTACCCATATTTTAGTAGGGAACAATAATTCCTGCCTGTTCCTCTAAGACAGCCCTGTCCAACAGAAATACAACGCGAGCCACATGTTTAAGTGTAAATTTCCTAGCACCCATGTTTAAAAATGTAAAAAAAAAAAACCAAAATCATTTTTCCCCAGGATTTTTTAAAAATTTATTATTTCAGACAGGGTCTCACTCTGTCGCCCAGGCTGGAGTGCAGTGGCATCATCATTGCTCACTGTAACCTCAGACTCCTGGGCTCAAGCGATCCTCCTGCCCCAGTCTCCTGAGTAGCTGGGACAACAGGCGCACGCCATCATGCCCAGCTAATTTTTTTATTTTTTGTAGACACTGGGTCTTGCTATGTTGCCCAGGCTGGTCTAGAACTCCTGGCCCCAAGAGATCCTCCTGCCTCGGCCTCCCAAAGTGCTGGGATTACAGGCGTGAGCCACTGTGCCCGGCCTGGCCAGGATTTTTAATGTTGGTTATTTTTTAGCAAGTTAATTTTGTTTTAACTTTTTTCTTTGGGAATAATTATAAATTCACAGGAAAGTACAAAGAAATGAACAGGGCGAGGGTGGGGTCCCTTCCAACCCTCACCCAGCCTCTCCAGTGTAACATTTTGCTTGTTAGCATTAACTATACTACAAAATCAAAACCAGGAAATTGGCATTGTCCCAATCCACAGAGCTTCTTCAGATTTGACCAGTTACTTACGCACATATGGGTGTTCGTTTGTTCTGTTTTTCCCTGCATTTCCAAAAGCTTCTATCAATTATATTTAGCCTCATTGGTCATTTGTGTTTAGATTTATGACCATTCATTCAATCATTTATTAACCATCTCCTATGTGCCTGGCACTGGGGACACAGCATGGAGCAAGACCAAGATCCCTGCCACTCAGAGCTGACAAGCTAACCGGGGAGACTGAGGATAAATACTTAAACACATAAATAATCCGGAAAGTAAGGCTAGGGGTTTGAGGCTGGGGTTAGCTACGATCATGCTGCTTCACTCCACCCTGGGCAACAGAGCAAGATCCCTTTTCTAGAAAAAAAAGAAAGAGAAAAGAATGTATCTGAGTATAATGAGTCCTGTGTATTCGAATGAAAACAGGATGATGGAATGGTGATCTGAAGTGGTTGGCTGGAAAGTTACTGAAAGCTGGGAACAAAGGGACAGCCAGTGCAAAGGCCCTGAGGCAGAAACCTGCCTATGTGTTTAAGGGACATTGAGGGGAGTCTCTCTGAACCTATTTCATTTATTCATTCATTCAAATTTTTTCTTCTTCTTTTTTTTTTCTTTTTAGCCATCCTCCTGCCTCAGCCTCCCAGTTCGTTCAAATATTTAATGAGCACTAAGTAGTAGGTTCTGGTGGTAAATGAGTCCAGATAAATAAGTCCGATAAGATCCCTACTGCTCACAGGGGGCTCACAGACTATTGGGTTAAGAAGACAAACAGATACAGAATCACTAGAAACATATTTGTTCCATTATAAAATAAAGTACAACCCTGCCATGTGCCAACACTGTCCTAAGCACTTTCCGTACGTTCCTCATTTAATTTTGTGACAACCTGATGAGGTCAGTATAATGAGCATGTCAATTTTACAGATGAGGAAACTGACGCACAGGTGGCCAGCAGCTTGCCGAGGTCCCACAGCCAGTGCCAGACAGCCTTTCTTTCCTTCTCCAACCCAGCCCTTCTCCTTGGTCACCCAGCCTCCTCTCTCTCCACAGACCCCTCCACCCTGCCGCCCCCACAGAGTCCTGGCGCCTGGGGGGCCACAGCCCTGCCAGCGCCCCAGCCACCTGTCCTGCTGCTGCTGCTGCTGCTGCCAGTGGCCCTGGTGCTGCCAGCCACCGCCTGCTGCCTGCGCTGGCGAAGGACGAGGCGGAGGACACCCTGCCCTGGGGAGCAGGTGAGCCAGCAGGGTGGGAGGAGGGGCGGAGAGGGACAGAGGGTGGCCAGAGGCCCTGCCTGCCCCCCTGAGACTGACCCTGTGGGGCCCACAGGCTCCCCCCACCTCCAGTCCCCAGGATGTGCTACTTGTGGAGCCCTGACCTCCTGGGGCCTCATCTCGGTGAGTCCCTCATAGGCCGTGGGGCCTGGACTGTGGGGAGGGTTCTAGGCGCTAGGGAAGGGCTGTGAGCAGAGCGGGGGCAGCCGAGGTGCAGAAGGAGCCCCCAGGCCACAGAGACCGGCTGCAAGCAGAGAGTGGAGAGTGAGGTGGAGGCTGAGAGGGCCCGGGGCGAGAGGACCATGGGGTGGGATGGAGAGGATGGGGCAGGGGGCCGGGGCCTGACAGGCCCAGGGCCGGATTGGACAGTGGGGAACCTGGGGACAGAGTAAGATTAGGGAAGGACATTGAGCTCAGTGGGGACCAGAGGGAATGAGGGCCTTGGGAAGATATATGGATGCAGGAGCTTGCAAGCCAGGGTGGAGGGGTCCTGGGGCAGGAATGGAACAGCATCCCAGGAAGAGGGAACTGCCTTGGTGAAGCCATCAGGTGTGAGAAAGCCCAGGATGTTCCAGTCACCTGGGCCAGTGCAGGGCATCAGGGAGCCATGGGAGGCATGGGAGGGAGGAGAGAATCTGGAAACAGGGGTGGGGCAGGAGGGAGGAAGGAGGGGAGGCCCCGAGGACAAGAAACATTTTACAGTAATTGCTCCAACATATAGTGCCTCGGTGGCGCAGGCTTTGTGCTACAGCTTTCCATAAATTAACTCACTCCATCGAGAAGCTTGTGCCATTATTATCCTTGTTTCACAGAGGCTGAAACAAGGCACAGAGAGGTAAATAATTTGCCAAATGTCACACAGCTCTTGAGTGAAAACCAAGATTTGACTCTAGGCTGTCTTGTTCTAGCATCTGTGCCCTTCTCTCTTCTGCCTCAGTTTCCTTATATGTACAAAAGGCTTTAATAATGGCCACCATAGGGTTGTCATGAGGTTAACAAAGTGACCCATGCAAAGCCTTTAGAGCAACACTGCCCAGTGGAAACAGAATGCAAGCCACACATGGGATTTTAAATTTCCTAGTAGCCACATTTTTTAAAAAAAAAAGGATCAAGTATGGTGGCTCATGCCCATAATCCCAGCACTTTGAGAGGCTTAGGCAGGAGGATTACTTGAGCCCAGGAGTTCAAGACCAGCCTGGACAACATAGTTGGACCCCATCTCTACAAAAAAGTATAAATAAATTAGCCGGGCATGGTGGTGCACCTGTAGTCTCAGCTACTCGGGAGGCTGAGGCAGGAGGATTGCTTGAGCCCAGGAGTTTGAGGTTGCTGTGAGCTATGATTGCACCACTGCACTCCAGCCTGATGCAGGTAACTTTATTTATTTATTTATTTCAAACAGAGTCTCACTCTGTTGCCCAGGCTAGAGTCCTGTGTCGTCAGCCTAGCTCGCAGCAACCTCAAACTCCTGGGCTCAAGCGATCCTCCTGCCTCAGCCTCCCGAGTAGCTGGTACTACAGGCACATACCACCACGCCCGGCTAATTTTTTCTATTTTTAATAGAGACAGGGTCTCACTCTTGCTCAGGCTGGTCTCAAACTCCTGAGCTCAAGGGATCCTCCCACTTCAGCCTCCCAGAGTACTAGGATTACAGGCGTGAGCTACCATGCCCAGCCATGATGCAGGTAACTTTAAACAATATATTTTGTTTCACCCAGTATATCCACGATGTTGTCATTTAAACATATAATCAATATTTTTAAATGATTGAGATATTTTACAATTTTTTATACTAAGTTTTCAGAATACAGTGTGTATTTTATACTGACAGCACATCACAATTCAAACAATAAATTTTTATCAGAAACACTTGATCTGTATGTAAGTTTCATGAAATTTACAGTTGCAAAAGTATATTCAAGTACTCAAGTTGTTCGAAACATGCATAAGTTTTCTAATAACTTGATTGAGGACCAGTTTCTAAATCTAATGATTTTTCATTTCACGACTTGTTTCTGAGCAGTAATTTTTGTTATAATTTTTTTTAAAAGGTACTACATTGAGTTTTCCTCCCACCCTAGTCCCCATCCAACCTGTTTTCTCACTCTCTCAATAACCACATTATTAGTTTCTTAAATGTAAATTATAGGGCCGGGCACGGTGGCTCACGCCTGTAATCCTAGCACTCTGGGAGGCCGAGGGGGAAGGATCGCTCAAGGTCAGGAGTTTTGAGACCAGCCTGAGCAAGAGTGAGACCCCATCTCTATATATTTAAAAATAAATAAATTAGGTAAAATTTAAAAATTCAGCTCAGTTGCACTGGCCACATCTGAAGTATTCGATACTCACATGGAGCCGGTGTCTCTCATACTGGAGAACAAAAATAGGGAACATTTCTATCATTGCAGAATCCTCTTGGGCAGCGATCTAGCCCACAATGAGCGGTAGCTCTTAATGGAGCTGTTTGGGGCATGAGTCTGTGCCCAGCTCTGAGCTAAGTACTTTCCCTCTCTGTCCACCAATCCTCAAACAGCCCCGTGAGACAGACGCATCTATCATCCCATTTTACAGAGGAGGACACTGAGGCCCAGAGTGGGGAGTCACCTGCCAGAGGATGCACAGCCGGGACCCAGAGGAGGTTGGCTACAGGCTGGTCCCTTCCTTGGCCCCGCTGCTCCTCTTACTCTCTCCCCAGGATGGAGACAACGCCAGAACTCAGCACCAGCCCCAGTTACTCCCCTCTGTACAAAGCCCTTGTCCCCATGAACTGTGTATAAATCATCCTTTTCTACCAGCTCTGGCCAGACCTGTCTGTGGATGGAACAGGGTGTGAATGGGGCAATTTTGATTGCAATCTTGGTGTTTCAGTTAAGGAAATACTTCATTCAATACTGTCTTCTGGCTGGGCGTGGTGGCTCACGCCTGTAATCCCACCACTCTGGGAGGCGGAGGCGAAAGGATCGCTTGAGCTCAGCAATTGGAGACCTGTGCAATATAGAGAGACTCCAACGTTACAAAATAAAAAAATTGTTTTTAATTAGCCAGACGTGGCGAAGCGCACCTGTAGTCCCAGCTACTGGGGAGGCTGAGGCAGGAGGATCGCTTCAGCCGAGGAGTTAGATGTTGCTGTGAGCCATGATCCAGCCACTGCACGCTAGCCCAGCAACAGAGTAAAGAGTAAGACCCTCTCTCAAAAAAAACATACTGTCTTCTGAGGCCTCCTGGGGCCTAGGGCTGGTGCTGGGCAATGCTAGAACCCAGATCTGAGTCAGAACCAGCCCAGTCCTCCCAGGTCTCCTAGACTATGAGGGAGAAGACAAGGGACCCAGCGAGCCCCAGTACGGGGATAACGCGCTCGCCCGGAGGTAGCGCACAGGCGTATGGGAGCCGGGAGGACTCTGACCCAGGCTAGGAGATCCGAAAGGCTCTCTGGAGAAAAGGACTCTTGAGCCAAAGGACACTGAGATTGTGACAAGCCAGATTTTGGAGGGGGCAGGGAGGCCATCCCAAACAAGGGACACAGCCTAAACAAAGTCTGAGAGTCCAGAAAATGAGAAATTCCTCTGGGGAACACAGCAGATTGATGTGCAACCCAGGCACCTGCAGTCATTCCTTCACCCACTCTTAGACCGCACAGGGAAAATTACCTCCACTTATTTTACAGATGGGGACACTTGACGCCCAGATAAAGCCAGGGGTTTGCCGGGGTCACAGTGAGGTCGGCCGTACCGGGGAATCCGGACTTCTAAGCCTAAAATTGAGCACTAAAAGGCGGGGCTCGTTGCCCCCTGTGGTCCACCCCGTGTCCTGCAGCCTTCAGTCGCTTCAGGGGGTAATGGCACCTCCCCTCACAAACATGGCGGGAAAAATCGCGTGAACGAGAGTAACAGCCCCTCAAAAATATGGCCGCCCAGGCCGGACAGCCCCGCCCCAGCAGTCCTGCCTCCATGCCCCACGTGATCTCTCGCCTCTCACAGCCATGGCCGCCAGGGCCTATTGGAATGGTGTCCGGATTGGACAGTTAGATGTCCCGCCTTCCAGTAGGGTATCTCTGCGCACGCGCACAACATTTCAGCCAATGAAGAGGAAGCCGCCCGCGTTGCGTCACTTCTGCCACCCCTGTTTCAAGGGATAAGAAACCCTGCGCCAAGACCTCCTTCTTTCCCAGGCGGCTGCCGAAGATGGCGGAGGGGCAGGTGTGGGCTCCGCGCGGGCCGGGGCGGCACGGGGCTGGGTGGATCCAAGCCAGAACGGGGTTGGGTACTCTATCTTCACCAACATGTGTTGTCAAACTTACTGTCGATAATTGGACAAAGTCGAGATCTTTTGGGACAAGGGGAATCTGTAGGAAATGTTTAGGCTGTTTTTAAATCTCAGGTTGACTAAAACGCGGCATTTTACTCTCGAGGCGAGGGGTAGTTATAGGAGCTTCCAGCACAGGAAGGGCTATTAGCACAATTAGACCTCGCTTACCTTGATCTCTGGTGGTGGGTGCGGTCCCTGGGGTCGGGTCTTGGCCGAATTGGACCATTGTGTGTCCCCAGCGATGGCGAACCCGTGGAAGTCTGGGCGGCCTCGGGGAAATGAGAAACTGAGGATTGGCCAAATGGAAGGTACTTCCATCCTGTCCAATGCGCGGGCTGCTTTCACCTCACGTGGGACTGCACCTCTGGTTATTTTAATATGAAATCCTTTTCTGCGGGGGGTCGAGAGAGTGCTAAACTACGGGCATTCAGGAATGAATTGCCCTTTTCTCACTGTTTCGGGGTTGGTGATTGCCTTGGAAGCGTGTTACTGCTGCAAGCAGGGCTGTGATAAATGGTTCCAGGATTATGGGACATTCTTTAGCCATACAGCCACCTGGGGGACCTTAAGGAACACAGCCAAAGCTCTGAGTTCCTGGCTCTTGGGGTAACTAATTGTATATGAAGGAGAGGCTGGCTCTGGAAAGGGTTTCCTTGTAAATTTCTTTTGTGTGCTTGAGGTGGGAAACTAAGTTCCAAGCCGGGCAGGCCTAAGCAAATGGTAGAGTTCACTGAGCATGTGTCTTTGTACCTAGCACAGTTCGGATTGTATTGCATCGTTTGGTGTAGTTCAGTTAACTTAGTACTCCTGAGGCAGACCTTGTT